CCCCCCCCCCCCCTTTCAACTCCACCCTAGCGCGCCTCGGGGTCAACCGTTCGAAAACACTGTAAATATCAGTGTTTTCAGCTCTTCCAGTCCTCAGCAGTGACCAAAAATCATGGAATTTACAGCGTTTTTTGTGGCTGTCCGGCAAAAAACACCGCAAAAACCGATGGTTTTTGATGCGTCTCGGTTAGAAAAATGACCGAAAAAAGACCAAAAACCAGGAAAGATTTTGTCAGAAAGGGTTTTTGAGGCTTTTGGAGGCATCAAAATTGCACAAAACTATGGTATTTACAGGGTTTTGTGCACCTTCCCGGCAGAAAACGCCGGTATTTACACGGGTTTCTGCGCTTTTCCAGCGCTCAACCGTGGTGCGCCTTTGGATCGACGGCTACAAAATACCGTAAATACCAGTGTTTTCAGCTCCTCCTGTCTTCAAGCGTGGCCTTAGACCTTGCCGCGGCTGTGGATCGACGGCAACGAAACCTCGTAAATACCAGTGTTTTTGAGCACGTCCTGTTTGCAAGCATGGCCTGCGGCCACGCAATTTACAGGGTCGCCGCACGTCACTATGTAAATCCGAAGTTGCATTTGAGAAATACGTGACTCCTTTTGAAGGCACGTCAACCTGTATTGAAACCGCTAGACCGCTACAGCTTCTGCAGGTTTTGTCAAGCGTTTGCGCACTAGTCTTTCTTTCATCACAAGTGGGGGGCCTCTCACCTCCTCCCGGATTACGCCTGATTCCCTGCTACCTTTCGTTCACCCCCCTCCTCTCTCAAGTGGGAGAAATGGGAGAAGGACTTTGATCATGTGGTCGTTGATTTGCCACGGACCTCGGAGGGCATCCGGTTCTCTTTACACCAAACTCCCAAACGCCCGGAAAGGCGGGCCAAATTCACCCAACGCCTGCAGGATCGGTCGTTACAACCGTACCAGCCGTAGAAACGAAAAGGGGCGCAGCGTCCAACGGAGGTTCGTCCTGAACCTTTTTGGGAAGGATGGAAGTGACTGAAATAAACATCAAACTAATAGCGAGCACACATACAAAATCATACAGAATCATACTGTACAAATACCCTTCCCTCACAGCAGCTGAACAACGTTCGCTTCCGAAACACTCCCCACTCCTGTCTTCTTCGCCTGTGTCACCCCCGCGGCGGCGCTCCGCCGCTCCGGTGGCGCTCCGGATGTCCTCAGGTGGAGCGCCGCGCCTCGAAGGGGCGGAAGATCCGGTATCGTCCCATCGAGAAGCTGCAGAACTTCATGGCGGCACGCCCCAGGCAGCGACCGGGAACGGATGAAGATTGGGGTGCCCGAACGGGTGGGTCTGCCATTGGTGTGTGCCTGCAGAAGTGGGCGGAGGGGTTGGAGAGGGGCTCTTTTGGGGCAGTTCGGGTCGCGTGAACTGCTTGGTGGTTGGTGGTATGTTTCGTACACTGCGGTGAAGTCTGATGTTGCATATGAGGATGGGCGTTGGATCGAGGAGTTTTCTGTGGAGAACAGCTGACAAAAGGTTGAATGCAAACCTTGAACCACCTCGATCCGCCCAGGCGTGAGAAAAGCATCACCGCATGACACCATGAAACCTGACAGCGAGCGGTTTCGCTAAGGAGGGACGAGGAGGATCCTTTGAGTGAGAGTGCCTGCCATGCCATGTTGAGCTCCCTCTTCGCGCCGATTAAAGCGTCAGCTGTTTGATTGCACTGACCCGACTGGCGAGCCGACCCACTGGCGGAAAAGATTGGCGTGACAAGTGTGAGTTGCAAAGCTGACAAGGAAGGGCACTGTAGCCCCCCCAAACGGAACAGTGCCCATGCACGTGTGATCCCCAGGTCTTTAAACGAAGAGACTGCTGGGAATGGTGTGATCCGACCGCCGAGTCGCCAAGGCCACCGCCTTCCAGCCAAGAGTTCCTTGGCCTCGCTGGGTGTGACGCACTGGCCGCAGGTGTTGTCCAGCTCGGAGGACTTCTCCTCGTCTTCGATGGATGATGTTGAGGAGGGTTAGACCGTACAAAGATGTCCTCCACAGACCGGCATGACATCCTAGAAGGAGTCCTAGAGGTGCTTAGGCCTTAGGCTGTGAAAGAGTTCATTCCCAGAGCCCTGAGTGCTTGATTTCTTGACACCTGGACCGCGAGCCTTGCTCTTTTAATTTAAGGTCTTTGACCATCTGAGCGCCCTCCGTGTGTAGCTGCAGGGGCTGCAGATTAATGAACATGGGCCTGTGAAGGTGCGCATCCATCCTCCATCCTTAGCTGGCCGGATTCAAAGCACAGTGTCGGAAGGCGTGCAGCAGAGATCGGAAAGGTTGCAGGACAGATGTGGGGATGGGTCAAAGGCTGGAGCCCTGGTCCACCACGCAGAACGCCCTTTTGAGCAGGTCAACCAAGGTCTCCCTATTTTCATACGCTCCCAATGTGAGCATCATCTTGAGCATGGAAACGCACTGTGCCGCAAAACAACATTCACCAATCAATGACGAAAAGGACAACGTCAATGCTATCAACACCTGATCGATCGGCATGTTTTCCTGCCATGACCGGGGGGTCACACGGCGGCTCCGTTCACACGGCCCAGTCTTCTGGGACCGCTGTCCCGAAGGGACCGGTTCTCGCTGGAATTCGCTGGATGTGCGGACGATTGGTCAAAACCCTTTCCAATGCAGTAGGTCCAACGGTTGAGACCTCTCCACATTGAAAAGGACAGGAGAATACTGATGCACTTCAGTGAGCCTCATTCTTCTCACCAATTCGGGAATCTTAGGGATGGTTCTGACCATGAAAAACACATGCCCAGGAGCAGGGTCGTACGCCTCATGGCGCAGAACTCTGCTCCTGCTAGCCTGCACAGCGCGTGCAGTGAAGAAGCTCGACATCGACTTCCACTGGTCAAAGCTTCAAAAGAAGACCGCGTGCAACGAATCTGGTGGCAGCCCATCTGCAATCTCAATTGATCATCTCAAGAGTTCTTGGCTGATCCTTTGCAGCTTTGGGTGTTCAGGAGTTCGATCCTTCCGTTGTGGCCGGATGTCTGGGGTCCGGTCCGTTGAGTGCACCCACGTCAAAACCGCCGTCAGGAAGGCAATGATCGACAATTGCCCGAGTTCACGGTGGGCATCTTCGCGCGCCACTCAAAGTGGGCGGAATGTTTCCGTGGCGGTGTGGCGGTGTTTTGGGGGTTCCGGCGAGGTTTGGGCGTACTAAAGAGCAAGTTCCGTGTGGTGAGGAGCAGCCGTTTCATGCGATGTGTGCGCCGTCTCGCCGAGGAGAAGAAGACCTTCCAGACCGCAGCTGAGTGGTCCAGCACTGAGAATGCTGAGACTGCTAGTAGTTGGGCGGGATTGTGAGCAAGATCTAGTCTTAGACGTCAGGATTCCGAACTTCTGGACACATGCGCGCACGTGCACCACAAGTAAACAAAGCCCAGCTCTGTGTTGTTTGGGACATCATTTTCTCGAGGGTCCGGACGCGCATCCCTTGGGCCCTTTGGTCGTGCGAGCCGGGTGATCCTTTGATGAAGGTTTCACGAGAAGGACCGGAAGCAGCTGTCCCAACCTCGGTTTCGTGGGGCGGAGGGTCAGGTGGTGTCAGACCGTGTCAGACGGTCCGGACACCCACCGAAGAGCCTTCCACCGGTGTCGTGTGGAGCGAGTGGTTGCCGCATCGGCGACGCATGGCGACGCTCAGTCCAAAACCCCAAATGTTCCCTTGACGCTTCCAGACTCCGTTTTTACATGGCAGGCATGATCTTGTTTTCTTGACTAGCAACCTTTTGAACCTCCCCAGGTCAGGGGGACCCTGAATTGTTACATATTTATATCCACTCTGAATTGCGTGAATTGGAGATTTTTCTGGCAGGGTTTGCAGGGTTTGCTTTGCCCAGACCCTTTTTCTTTGCATGATTCCACTGGGCATCTTGTGCCTCTCCACCTTGGCAGCGTGGCTTTGGGCATGAGGAGGGCGTCCCGGAGCGTCGAGGAGCGTCGGGTCTCATCATGGCACCATGGCACGGCCACTGCAGGCGCGGTTTTCGAACGGTTTGTGCAAGTAGTCATGGCAATGTCATTGTGAGCATGGCTGTTCAGTTGGGTCCCGTGATAATGATGCGCCATGAATGAATATTTCATTTGAGGAAATGATTGTTTTCTCCATCCACGGCTACTTGTTGTGGAACTTCGGACCCTGCCGTCTCGTGATTTCATTTTTCTGACGCCCTCCGATCAGGGTGACATCTCCGTGGGCAGGTTGGTGGCGTGCCTTGTTCCGGTTGTTTGTTTGTTTTGTTCTTGGACCCCTTGGGCAACAGCAGCCCAGAAAGGCATCCATCAACTCATGTGGGGGTAGGTGGGGAATAGGTCGGGCATTCTGGCGTGCTCTCCAACGGGCAATTTCACGTGGGAAGTTGATGGGATGGACCCTTGAAAAGGCGATATGCCCATGACATTCCTAGAATTTCCTAGACCTAGGTGGGAGGTCCAACTAGTCCAAGCATAGTGAGATCCACTGCTGTTCGGTAGGGCGTAGCGAGATCCATTGCTGGTTTTGGAGCCTTCAGGAACTCCAAGCTGGCCACAGCCTACCTCTATGGAATCACCTGGCGTCAGGGTGCCAAGGAGGCGCAGCAGGCCGGTCTCATCCGATCCCGTCGGTTGACCGGGGCGGTTGCTGAAGCACAGCTTCTGACAGGTTGCCTCCCGATTCTCCCAAAAAGCATATGATATGATATAATATGATATATATATATATACATACACAGTATATATGCCATGGATCCCAAAGTTCATTTGCAGCCTTCCCCCCCCTGGTGACACCTTGGTGTAGGTGCTCTTGAACTTCCTCGACCGCGGCATGGAGGCCAACGCGCGCCCAGGCAGCAGTTTCGGGGGACCTTCCCTGGTTGTCAGGAGAGCCAGGCGTCCAGGACCACTCACAAGAAAGGAACACGCCCTACTAAAGGAAATGGATGCCCTGGTCACACTAGGATTCAGTTGGCCAAATCAGTACTGATCAACCTCCTCCTCCTCCTCCTCCTGCTCCTGCTCCTCCTCCTCCTCATCATCATCATCATCACCACCACCACCATGACAGTCACTTTCGCAGTGGGCCCCAGATCAAACCTCCGAGGTTTCACGCCAATGCTATCATCGGGGCCTGCCATGCGCGAGACTGGCGCATGGCACTGTTCTTGCTGGTGGGCATGGGTGACTTACGCATGAGACCAGATGGAGTGAGACGCTCGGCAGAGGTAGCAAGTGGATCCCTCTTCGAAACGAGGCGCTGGAATGGACAACAGCGCATTGGCAGGCTTTTCCTTACAACAGTTTTTGGGAGTCTATGCTAGTCACTAGTCTATGGGCTGTTGTTGTTCCTGTTCTTGGGTGGTTGATGTGTCTCATGTCTTTTACTCAGTAGCTTCGTTTTGCCACATCAAGTGTTCCGATCGCTTCAGGCCCTGAGCATCCCTCGGTCCTTCTGTCATGCTTTTGAACATCCACTTTATTTTCACTTGGCCCGTTTGCCCATGAGTCCCTTTCAGAGCACTGCTTGGTAAAGGTGCACTCAACATACGATTTCTTTCTAGCCCTACAAGTGCACGGAGTGTAGGGCATGATGCAGTGACGACCTGGATAGCAGCTTCCGTTCCTGATGTGATGGATGTTGTGGTACAAACGGGCCGCCTCCTGGGTGCCATTCCGGCTGTTGTTGCCGGGTTCGTGTTGCTTTTGCAGGGCAATCCGATGCGCAATCCGATTGGTTCGAGGATGGCGTTGGCTGGCAGTGCGGCTAGGGTTGTGGCTGTGGCCACAGCTGTCCTCCGATAATGTGAATGTCACCCTCAAAGAGACCATGGAGGCCATCAAGCAAAGCATAGAACAGTGGAGCAGCAGACCCCAGCAAGGGACGCAAAGACCTGCACCAATTGAGAGTTGATATGCAACTCGACACCGTGAAGACGATGAAGACGAGAAGACGGTCCATCGCCCATTTTTGGAGTGTTCCTCCACAGGAGGCCCTTCGCCGATGTTGCAAGATGAAGACCGCAGGTCAAGGACCCCGTTTGCACTCCGCAGGACTTCTAGTCATCCAACGTTCCAGTAGAGTTGGAGCATCACTGGGAGACTTGAGTGGTGAAGAATTGCCCGGAAGGGCAGAGATGAGGAGGTGGAGGTGAGCTGAGACAATAGCCGAGCCAAACAACAAGCATCATGCCTTAGCGCATGTGCGGTGGTCGTCGTAAGGGCCGTTCTCATCCTAGCAGGTCCAGTACTTTGCTTTCAATCAGAGCTTGAACCATGTGACTCTTGTACTGATTTGTTCATGTGGATGAGTTACGAAGACTTATAGGTGTTCATCGTCTACGTGGTCCCGAGGTGTTTGGTAGTTGGTTTCAAACAGAGTTTGGAAGAAGAAGAAGTTTAAACAACCACATTCAATCTGCTTGTTCAACAGCCTGGTGATTCGGACTGGATCGACGGATCCAATCTTGCGGACCCCGTGGTTCTCAGACGTCGTCCGGGATGTCTCTTTTTTTGAGTGTGAGACGTGTTGAGACGTGTGACATACGTGAAGACCAGATATTTTTAGAGACGTCAGGGATTTCATGTCAGAATCAGATCAAGTCCTGAAGTGAATCATGGCTTGAAAAGACCCGTCCATGAGTTGTTTGTTGGCTTCTCGATCTCAATCCTGAAGGTGCGTGTGCTATTTTTCAATTGCTCCATCCTTGAACGTTCCTACAACGGCTTTCTTGGTTGGAGGAAAACGATCCATTAATACAACATGTGAGCCACAACAACCAGAGCTAATATGCGACCGTGCTATTCACACCACAGCGGACATGGCCAAGTTAAGTCTGAACCTCAACCAAGCCAAAATGGGCCTCCTTACATCAACCGCCAGGAACACGGGTTGAACGCGCTTCCGCGAGCCCAGCTGCCCAGCTGCCGGCCCTCGATCGGGTCCAAGGCTACAATGCTGCCATCAACGTGCTGGAGAAGGCCTCACGCTGGAGCCTGGCGTTGCACTGGCTGCGTCACTGGGCCATTGTTCTTGGCAGCTGCTGTTGCTGTTGTGGTCGCCTTCTTTGCAGAACAGATGTTGTTTCTCTAGGCACATGGGCGCAAACTGCTGGTGACAAGCTGATTTAGTGGCTTCTGTGGGGGGGCTACCTGCTACCTGTTGCTGCACCTAAGTGCAGGAGTAAGATGGGCTGGTGAGCAAGCTCATGTTCCACAGAAGATGGCCTCAGGTATTTCAGAAAGAACTTTGGAATCACCCCACCTACAGTCAAATGATGACACGCTTGCCCGGAATGAATACGACCACTGGCGGTTTTACGAAAGGATTCGCCCCATGCACAGAATGGCATTGCTTCTCTTTCTTGGCCTTGAGGAGAGATGCGCAACTCCGGTCTGCAGCCAAGTGCCATAGGGTACAGCGCCCTGTTAAATGGTGGTCAGAGACTTGGCTGGATTGACGGGAGAATGGTGGCTCACCGGACGCCCGAGATTTGGACCAACGCGACGATCCCAGCGGAAGCCCGGGAGGTGGACCCGGACACCCAGCATTGCGAAGCAAGTGGATCTTGATCGTTCTATATCGGTGAGGGGGTTGCTTCCGAACACGAACCGAAAAAGACAGCTCAAGGTGTGTTCCGAAGAGACCCCTGAAAACCAATGTGCTCTAAAGCGACCCTGTTGCCTTATACATTCCCGCAAGCACAGCGGTCATGACCCGCGGAGAGATGTTCTGGCCCGCCAGCACGAAGTCACAAAGTCCGACGAGGTGCGCCATCCATGCAGCCCTAGTTGACTTTAGAACTCCCACAAGTACCTACACAAGCTTGTCCAATTGTCCAGAATTTTCCGATCTCCCTTGCCTCAAGGAGCAGGTGGAAGATGATCCTCAGCACCTGGCCACTCAGCCCAAACCGATGTCCGTCTTGCGCAGACCTGGGTTTGGGGCAGACCTCCAGAGGTCTCGTCAGACCTGTCAGACCCAAAGGTTTCGTTTTACTCGGACGGTGCCGTGCTACTCTGCGGGAGATTTGGAGGTTTTTCCAGCGGCCGGGTTGGTCGACGGTGCCATTGGATGGATGGAAATCTGGATCGCAACGTCAAAAGGGTTGCCCAGATGAGGATGATCTTGCCATCCCACTTGAGGTGTTTCCCAAGCTGTTGGGAGTGTGCTTAACTCCGACCAAATTCGGTGAAGTCATTGCCGTTCCCAAGGAGTGAAGCCAAAGTGGCAGGGCTGGACACAGCTGCTGGATGCCAACGGGTGGTGCGGGTCGGTTTGGAGGGGTTGATCCTAGGATCGGTCTGTTACCGTCGTCCCCCACAAGGCAAAATCCAACCGCATGTGCCACGCGGTTCCACGACGGTGGAACTGCCTAAGAGCTCCGGAAGCACGCACAGCACTGAAGACTATATATGATGGTTCTGCGTATTCGACTAGAAGATCCGAGGCGCGTGCATGAACGTATCACCTTGCAGTATCACCTTCCTAACCCAGACCGTTTTTTTTCCTTGTTTACTCATTGGATCCCGTTAACTGTGCGTTCCGTCTACTTCGGCTGTGCTCGGGGAGTTGAGGAGAACTCATCTACTACTGAGTAGGATCGTGCCTCTTTTTGTTTGACGATGTCACCGAAGGACTGGGTCAGATGCGAGTTTTTTTTTGGGGGTCTCACTTCCCAGAACCAGACATGATATCACTCGATCTCCTGCAAGGGCACTATGGGCTGTAGTGCGGCCATTCGGGCTTGCTCTGCGTGGTGGCATGCTGCAGAGGTTCTGTCATCGATGAATTGGTTCAGGCGCGCAGAAACATCAGGTATCATTTTCAGGCATAGTAGGGGCTGGTAGCTTCGTAAGAGCCTAGTGTGGTGCTTTGAAGGGTGTGATCATTCTCCATTCTATCAATATGAAACATTAAACATGCCCAGGAACCATCTATATAGAATTTAAGTAAAACCCGGCCCTTGTTTGGACACTATTTGCCCAACAACGCATGAACACGCCAACAAGAAAGAAGTAGCAGGTCATTTGTGCCAGGGTTCACGGATCCCCCTAGACCAGGGATCCATAGAATGCGTGGATAGTCTTGACGTTGGGAATCAACAAGTGAACATGCGATATACACCACCATTGTGACACGTGCCCTCTACTTTGAACCTATGTTTGACTTCTGTGCTGCAGATGTTGTTGCAGGATTCCAGCTGACCGCTGCACCTACAATGCTGCATTGCATGGCATCAGGTCGCAGTGGCAGAGAGCATCGCATCTCTCGAGGAGAGCATCGCATCTGCGTAGGGCATTTCAGATCTTCGGCTTAGCGCCCTGAGTAGACCTGGGCCAGCTTCATGCAGTGGGACTAGGCCGACAAGGCTTTGCAATCCATGAGGAAAGTGACATGTTGTTTGTTTTACATGGAGAACTTCAACTGGACAGGCCGATGGCAATTTGCCCATGTCCATCAACCCCAAACAACCTTGGAACACCATTGGGCCGGAATCGGAAGGACCGTGACACCCGACGCCGTGGGTGCAAATACTGTGATCAATGCTTGTGCGCGTGCTGGCCGGTGGGCACAAACCTTGGCGCAGCTAGAAGATATGGCCCCTGGGTGTTGACAGAGGACTTTCAGGTGGCAGAGTGTCATTTTGAGCCCATTTTGGTGCGGGACATGCTTTCATCAAAACTAGTGGTGACAACTGAGCATCACTTTCCCTTGTGCAGCAATTGCGACAGCTCCACCCGCTGTCCAATCAGCCCACATTGGCACATGTGACCAACTGAAGGTAGGACAAAGAGCCAAGTTGCGTGTGTTAGCTGTGTCTCATGACGAATCCCCATCTCAAATGGACGACGTAGGTGTGTGCAATCTACTCGGGCCATCATCTACTGCAGAAATCATCCAGCAAGTCAAGTGTACTTGCAAGGTTTGCTAAGGCTGCGGGGGGTACTAGCCGCTAGCCGAGGCAGTGATTCATTTGGAGACGGATGTTTTCAGCTGCAGTACAGCTCTCAGCGCCTGTGGCTGTGCTGCACCAGGGGCATTTCGAGTTGGTCAGGGTACTGTAATCCAGGTGCACAAGACCAGTCGTCCATTCCTTTTTGGGCAGTTTCGACTGCTTGATTTCACGCTTTCTCGTCCAGGCGGGCTCATGGGAACTTGGGCGTTTGCTTGCCACGTCTTGGCCCAGTCTGCCATGCGGAAGGCCGTGAAGTCACTGTGAGACGACCCCGGGGTCGTCAACGGGGGGGCCCGAAGTCACATCTCCAGCGATGAACATCATGACTCCAAGGATCGGGGGGTTCGTCATGACGACCGGTGTCGTTCGAGCTGGACATGGCACGGTCGGACATGGCACGGTGGCATCTAGCTGGGATTTTCAGCTCCCTGAACGGAACGGATGGTGTGATGGGTGTGTTTGTACTAGCTTTGTCCAGGCACTTGGGGCGCTTGGACTTTGATCGACCACGGATTTCATTTTGGAGAAGTGGTAGGGATCAGCACGTCAAGCCACTCTCCCCGCACCAATCCAACAGAAACAGCCAGACCACCACTCACGTGTCGATCCGGCTCCGTACGGGCCAGATCCACCCGAACCACGTGACCATGGGAACAGCGGTGGGCTGCTGTGGTGGCCATTGGGAGGTTGCTAGTGACCTGATGATGGGCCACGTGGCACGGATGGAGGAGGTTTGCACCTTCAGAGAAGTCCGGAAGATGGTGTTCAGCTAATCTGAGCACAGAGTCCCGAGGGGATGTATATACATTAGACAGAGTTCATGCTTATCCGAGTGCCATGCTACCCTGCGCTCCACTCACTGGACCTTGGGTGTCCTTGGTTCGCACATGGCCACCCCATTGTCATTCCAAGGTTTACCAGAGCTCCGCTTGGCCTCCGACCTCATCATGTGCAACTCCCACTTGGGTGTGTGCGCGGCCGCAGGGCGCTGGGAGGTCACCCAGGGTTGCTCAAAAAACATCAACGCCTTGAGCGAAGGTTGAGGTCTTGGTTCTCCCCCAGTGATGCGCACCCGTCATCCTTCAGGTGGTGCTCGAAACGCTGGCAGAGCAGCGAGAGGCCGACAGAGGGCACGGCGTGCGTGACCGGTTTCAGCGGGATGGCATCAGCTTCACGGCTGGAATTTCGGCCTGCGAGAAGGGCAGCCAGTGGACTTGGACTGTCAAGCTTCTGGAGATGGCGATGCACGAAGTGCCAGAGGTCACCGCAGATGATGTGTGTGACTTGGCGTTGGTGGTGTTGCGGTGGATGACGGGCACGGGAGGGAGATTCAAAAGCTGCTTGTGCCGAAGGAGGATTGGAACGAGCACACACCCATCAACCAGCACTTCAGCCACAAGTGCACTTACCCTTGGGTGCAAAGCACAGGGACCATTTGGAGTGCAACCGCCACGATCAAACCACAACACCTGTCTTTTCCAGGTCGTTTTCGGGTCGTTTTCCAGGTTTTAACGCTGCCATCGATGCCTGTGCCCGTGCCACTGCGCGGGCTCCTGCTTGGGCGCTGCTCTCGGAAGCGGAGCGCAGCGTGGAGGTCCGTGACGTGTCCTCCTTGCCCTGGGCACTGGCCAGGCGAGTGTCTCCGGTGGCGCAACGTCTCGCGCCGGTGCGCGCGCAGCTCCGTTCGCGCAACGTGTACTCGGGCGAGTCGGGTGCCGCGCCCTGGAGCTGCGGAGAGCTGGCAGATCGGAAGACGTTTTGAGGTTTGATCCATTTTTGGGGGGCACGCAATGGCACAGAAGCAGGTAAGGTAGGCACCGCAAAGCCTGTTTTGGCATACCAAAACTGCAAACCACACAGCATCCAGGAAGAACATGGCAGCACCCCACCACTGCCCGAATTCTGTCGTGTGTTTTTGACGTCCGAACGGGACTCCGAACTCGGACGACTTTCGGTCCAGGCTTCACTGCCAAGATGCCTCCGTTGTCTTGGACGTCTTCAAGGACGTGGTCACCGTGGTCCGAGATCCGAAGTCGCTGTCGCCCAAGAGGTGGTCGCTGATGACCTGGGCGTTTGCCATGCTTGGAGTCCCCGTGGCCTCTCACGAGGCGCGGAAGGGAAGGCATCACGGATTGTTGGAAATAGAATGATTCTATGATTCTACAGCGGTCTGCTGGCTTTTAGAGGGATTCCCCCAACCCTGCACAAGTGCTCCGATTTTCAGCTCGACCGTGGCGTGACTTTTCTGACCAGGTCTTTCGGGAGGCGATCATGACTTCCTTGGATGACTTCAACATCGATGAGTTATCGATCCTGTCATGGGGGATGATGGACTTGGACGCGACTTCTGGCCTTCGCATTCAGCTGGCTGCGGTGAGAGAGATGGGCCGAGCCATTGCGCCCAACCAGGACCCAACGTGCAGATCGACGGACCTTGCACAGATGGACATTTAACGGCGTTATATAGTTATACATCGAGAAATGCATATGTATATATAAAATACAATATATATATATGCAGGTAGCCCCTTCTCACAAGCCAGCTGTTGCGGGGATACTCCCGGCGTCAACGACGGTCAAGCTTGATGGAAATAAGTGTCTAGCTCTCTTCAATCAACTCGCACGGAAAGGACAGCGCAAAGCGGTCGAACGGGCGAGGGCGAATGAACCCGGCGGAGCACTAGGACACTGGATTTTGATCCACTTAGCTGGTAGCGAGTACCAAGGTTGGCTTGGGTACGAGTGACATATCAACATCCCCCGGAACTCTCCGAACTTTGGTTCTCTTCATGGGCACTGTCCAAGGCGTCCAGTCCGAGGCGTTTGCGGTTTCTAGCTGACCTCATCAGAGGGTCGTCAACGATTTTCCAATGTTGTTCAAGGTGATAGAATTTCTGCAGCTGTTGGGGCTCCGAATCTTTTGTGAGAGAGTTTGCCAGTTGTGCGTCGCTGTGCACCCAACGTATCGGCATTTGTGTCTTTACACTAGCTTCCTTGAGGCCGATAAGCTCCAGACTAGTTCTATGTTCCGGACCCTTAGGGACATACACCTCAGTCTGCATGCGATCGTAGACGTTGGTGGAATCTGTCACCAACACTCCAGCGATCTTTGCAACTTGTTCCTCAGTGTGTCGCACCTGAACATGGTTTCCAAGCATCTCAAAAACCTGAAGTCGAATCCCGTACACGGCATCTTCACAGTCAATGGCAGCCAAAGATTCTGCAGCACCAGGTGATCTACACTGTCTTTCGATTTTTCCTGAACGCCAAAACACAGGACTCACAGGACAAAGATCACCGGAAAGAAGTCTTTTGGAAGTGATCCCTATCACAATCCCTAACGTGCTCTTGCCATCATGCCTGTTTTGGGCAGCAGCGTCTGCCCAGCCCGCAACTAGAAGATCAGAAACCTGTATGTTACCATGAATTTTCAACACATGCTTCCTATGACACTTGGTTTTGTACACCAGTTTGTTGATTTCTATCATCGTGCTAACCGTACTGTCTCGCACCTGTGAAAGAAACAAACTAACTCCAGCTGCTAAGTGAGGGCTGGTTTGTTGTGCACACCAAGAGAGAGCTCCTAAGACGGCTCGAATTCTCGTCTTTTCTCCTTCAGTAGTGTGTGATTTAGGCTCCCGACGACGTTCGGCCGAAATACTCAGCTCGCGAATGTCGTCGATGTACTGTGTCTGAGACAGGTCGAAGCCTCCTGTCTTGGTCCTCTCAACCTTGACGCCACATTGTGTGAAGGAGTCGTACTCCCATGTCCCCCACTGAAACTTCTTTTGTATTTGATCACACAAACCCTTCCATGTTACACATGACTCTCGGCCACAAAACAAGAAGTCGTCCACGTGTCCACTAACCAACCCGACAAGCTTTCCATGTTGGTCGGTGTACTTGAAGCAGCATGGGTCGCACACACAACGTTGAAAGCCGATGGAGATGAGGAACTCTGAAACGGTCAAAAACCACTCCAGCGGCGCATCCACAAGCCCGTAGCAGGCTTTCTTTAGCTTTGTGATGGAACCTGCTGGGATTCCAAGTCCGTCACAGATCTCATCAGTTGGGATGACATAGGCATCATGTTGGTATGACCTCCCTTGCAGGAAGGCCCCTGAAACATTTCCCTTGGCAACTCTCATGCCGTGGCTGGCGGCCACGACTAGGAGGATTTGTCTCGTGCTTCTGGACATAGTTGGAGCCATGGTCTGTCTCTCGGCATAGCAAGGATCCTGGTATCCTAGAACAACACAACAGGCCTTGGCCTTTCGTTCACCGGACTCTTCGCGCTTCCAGGTGAGTACCCAGCGCATTTTCATGGCCACGCCTCTGCTGGGCTGAAGGTGTGGTGGCAATGCTTTCAATGCATCCGCCGCCAAGAACTTTTTGACTTCAGTCCCCTTTGCAATCCTCATTTGTTCTCGTTCGTCGTCGGACATGTGGCGTTCTGACACTTCAACTCCCTTCCTTCGAAGCTGGGCTGACAAAAAGGACTGGAAATGATTGGTCATGTGCAGTCTACCCCTCTTACTATCAGGAACTTCGATTCCAATTTCCACTGCCGCTTGGCTGGAACCCCAAAAACACTCGGCATATGAATCCTGAAACGTCTCGGGTATGTCGCAGTCCGTCATGTGTCCGAACGGGTTTCGTTCTTCATTGCTCCCTGACGCTTCTCTACTTGGCACAGGACATTCGGGTGCGGAACGTTTCTGTCGAACGCGTCGAAACGTTCGAACCTGTTCCTCATCCCTACCTTGCTCGATTTCCATGGGTTCAGGGACTTCACCAGAAACATCATCAAAACTGTTGATCCCTAAATCAGTGGTCAACTGGGTGAAGGTCCATGGCAAAACAGGATTAGGATTGGTAATGGCTTCAAGTGTTTCCTCCCGAGCGGAGGCATGCCTCAGTTGAGTCACGTTGGCCTTAATTAAACGTCCGGCACGAACCAACCAAACCACCGACCCTGGATGATAGTTACCTTCCTCGGTCATTCGTGTTTCGACGGCGAGCACTCGACAAGGTCCGGTGTATCCGCCGCTTCGAGATGAAGCAGCGGGTCCTTTGGTCAGGCCTTGGATCCTCCAAACAAAGACAAGGTCTCCAGGAAGGAATCTCTGAGGAGCATAGCTTCTAGTGTTCTTGGCTCGAGTGATTCGATCGTCGTACACGAAATCGGTGAAGGCCTGCTCTGCCGTCCTCATACGTTCCTGGTTCCGTTGAAACTCACCTTCGGGGTTTTCACACAGGGTTTCATGATCGATCGGTCCGACTTCACTGCCAAAACGTCCGTGGGCATCAGGAGACCGTCCCAAAGCGTGTTGTGCCGGACTATATCCACGAACGACCTCTCGTTCGTTCTCCACTCGAACGGCTTCCGACAGGGCTTCCTCTGGTGAGATCTCGGGTTCTGCCAGTGCCAACTTGGTCATGATGTGCTTGGTGCACTGGATTGCTCGTTCCACCTGGCTGATTCCCCAATGGGCCTCTGCAGGCACCACGTCCAGTTCTACCTGTTCTCTACTAAAGTAGTCGTCCACCATGTGTGACCTCCAAGGTCCTGCCGGATCAACCCTCAACTTGTGGGGCTTTCCAAAAATGGGTTTCCAACACTCTTGATAGAATTGAATCATTTGTTCCCCGGAAACACCCCCAGGACCCTTTCTCATCACCTTCCCAATCCTAAACCGACAACCTTCGTCGATCAACAAAGTGAACTGAACCCGAACCTTCGAGTGTGGATGATTCCAGAAAGCGCAATCGGACTGGAGTACATGCCACTTTGGTGCTAAAGGTTCGAGACTCACTCTAGGTCTAGGCACATGACGTTTGAGCTCCTGACACACTGAGCAATCAAAGGTCCGGGCCAGCTCGATGATTCTAGGGTCGGCACGTCGTGACTTTAAGGCTCGTACCAGGTGTTCTATTGGTCCATGTCCCGTGTTTCGATGAAGCATTGCGATATGTTTCAGGGCGGTTTCTTTTTCCTCGGGAGTGAGATCAGGTTCATCCTCTTCCCGTTCTCCTACCAAACTCAACACCTCCCCCGATTCGTGGCTCAGTTCACACATGCTACACTTCATGTCACTACGAGGGTGGTGGATCTCATTACAACAACACTCCATGTCATGTTCTTTCAAGTATTTGGGTGGTCCGTGTTGTCCTGACAGTTCTCCATGAATGTCACGGGATCTTTGGGGATGCAGGATGGCGCGACAAACACGACGAGCGAATTCGGTGGTGTAGTATGCGGAACGCCTCGTGAGAGCACCTTGACACACGGCATGTTTTCCGGAACATTGACAGGGCAGCTCCATTTGTTGTGCCAGGCTGCGGTGTGTGGTGGCCATCTTCCAACCCTTGCTCAACAACATCCCTTGCTTGTGATCTTTCAGGTTCACACGACAACCCTTCGTGACACAAAACAAAGGAGGATATCGTTGAAACACCCTTTGAACCATCGGAAGCCTCCACGCGTCGCACGTCTCCGACCACTCCCAAGTGGTGGGGATGCCGAGTAGGTAGCAATAGGTGTAGATAGCTAGCCCTCCGACATACATGCGAATGCACGACTCCCGTTTTTGTTTCAGTTCCAAAACTTGTTTTTCGTTTCGTTGGTTCACCTGTTGCATACGACTGAACGGACCGCATTCCGTGGAAATCCAAACATGTTCCGGCCGTTGTTTCTTGATGGCCACGAGAATGGCCCGAACTCCAGTATTGGTTCCTATATCATGTCCGTTCCAGTATGCAAAACGCTGTGCACTCGACGGTCGATTGGTGATCAGCTGCATCTGTTTTGACAGCACGGAGTCCGGTGCGCAAGCAAGTTCAAAAAGGATGGGCTTCCTGGTCTGTACGAGAGCCTCCATACTGTCAGGAAGCAGTCTCTCAGCTTTCCAGCTGAGAGTCTTGACTTCTGAGAGGCTTAGCTCTCGGCTCTCACATTCAGGCCCATCCGCCGTCTCTCCATCCGAGAGCTCATAGGCTTCCATGGGCCCTTCTACTGCAGCTCCGACACTTGGTCCCATTCGCTCGTAGAAGTGACGTCCTCGGCATGACGAGTGCGGCGCTTGGCTTCCTTCGAGCTCTGCTTCACCTGTACCATGTCGTCTGACAGGTTCTTCACCGTCACCATCAAATTCTGAAGCATTGCCTTGACCTCCTCGCCCTGCTCTGGTGTCAGAGGTGCACTCGATGCCGATCCCGACTGAGGGCTGCTCGACGCTGCTCCGGGCTGGTAGCCCGATGTCTTCGTCTGGGTGCCCTTCTTCTCCGGCATGGGTGGAGTCTCGATGTGTCCCACTGACTTCAGCCATGTGGCCAGGCGACGAAGTCGTGGACTGCATGGGCCCTCGGACGAGGTTGTCAGCACCCACTGGCAGTATTCCGGTTGCTGGGATTTCACCTCCTTGTACTTCAAGTGGCACCACTGTCCAAATCCCACGGGGTCCTCCGCATGGCCGGGAATGCTGTTGTACGCCCGATTCAAGGCCTTCATCTTGAGGATCTCCACTGTCTCCATGCCCGTGATATCCACTCCCATCTCTTCCTTCACAAACTTCTGGAGGTCCGCCTTGCGGCGAGCTGCCATAAGGGGCTCCTTTCGCCCCCGTTGCAACCACAACGATGCTCGCTGGTTGCTCTATTCAGCCACTGCCACGGAGGTTAGTTTTTGTATCACAACCTCGAGGTAATCTATATATGCTGTTGCTGAGGACCATACAGAAAAAGTGAACAAGGACTTCGAAAGACCAGAACCACCTTAGCTAGAACAGTAGCTAAGCTGATTGTGCATGGTAGGGCTTTCGACTACACAAGCATCCTGTTATTTGGTTTAAAGAACATCACCATATTTTCTCGCATGTTTTCACATATAGACTGCCGGGCGGACCATCACCGGCCCGTTTCGCCCAGATTGCGCCAACCTGGCAACTCATCATGGCGAAAGGCGCGCCGGAGGCCTTGTTGATGTTCACCTCCATCTGCCGAAGCGGTGACACTTCCTTGGCCTGAGGGAGCATGGCCTCTTCTCCTTCGATCTCGATCAGACGAAGCTTCAGCTGCGCCTTCGTCCAACCCTTCGGCGCCTCTTCGCCGTGCTGGGACAGGCGCTGTCGTAGCTCTGCCAAGCTCATCTGGTTCAAAGACATGGCTCGCTTGCCCGTGATGAACACACTCAAATCGCGCTAGGGGTTCCGGTTCGAACCTCAAACTGCGCGCCGGCGCCCTTGACTCAACTGGTGCACCAATCAGTTCACCTGTCGGACCTAAAGCATCTGCCTCACATGAGTGTGCATGAAACTCACAGCCAAAAACTGGAAGTCCGTCGTTCGATCGTTTCGACAAAACCGCGAGCGAGGAACGAGTGAGGTGAGTTCCTGAGTCTAGGCGGTTCCAAGGCTCCGACGGGCGCGAATTCGAACGAGTGTGCGCGTCATGTGTCTGTACGTGTTGATGTGCTTCATTATCCTGAGTTGTTCCACATTGACCTTGGCCCGGTGGTCGATTCAAGGGGCACTCTTGGTCCATGTTGTGAATGTCCTGGTGTTTATCTTTCTTGTTCCCATGGGTCTTTCCGCTATTCTTCGAGTTCCAAAATGAATCATGTTCGAGTTCCCCAAACTCGTACCCAACCTTCCCTGCAGCACTTTCGACCTTTCTACCTGGGGCAGGGTCCGAGGCAGAAAGGAGTTGTCCCTACTCCAAGTCCTTCAAGGATCCCAGCGGCTTCGCCAGATCCACAGCCTGCGTGTAAATGTCGTCCGTCAGGGGCATCAATTGATGTCCCGCGGATGACCGTTCCAGGCGAATCATCTTTTTGGGATCAACATGACGAAAAACTGCCAAATCATTTTCAAAATCGATCACGGCACCTAGTCGCCGTAGCGAATGTATGGATAGAAGAATCGGTGCTGAGCCTTCATCTAAGGCGTGTACCCTCATGGTACCCAACCTGCCGGCCATCGGCGCTTGCAGATCCGCCGTTGAGGCGCACTGGTTCTTGCTCGAATTCCCAAACCCAAAAATGGGTCTATCGGAAAAATCGATATTGGCTACCCCTGTCGCTCCCCGTTTCCGGGTGTTCAAATCAGTCACACGTTCCAGGGCCGTGATCGAACCTATGGTCCTAGTCGCACCGCCGTCCAACACCGCCTTGCCTTCAGCAACGGCTTGGGTGGTGGATATAAAACTTTGGGATGATTCTGTTGACATGTCGCAGGCCCCAGCCATGCCTGCCACGTGCTCGTTCCAGAAGACGAACGGAGCACCTCCGCCATGTGACCCTGCGAAGGCGGCTTGGGCTTCTCCTTGCACTCAGCGATCCTGTGCGGACCACCACATCGGAAGCACTTCATTGGAGCCCGAGCACGATTGCCGTCATCCCTTCCACCAGAAGCCGCTGGTCGGCCATAGAACTGCCGCGACATCTTCACGGCATGTTGCCGTGCCCTCGCATCTCTCAAGGTGCGGCGGTTGTCCTGAATGGCCGTCATGGCACTTCTGGCTCTTTCTTCTTCAGCTACCATGGCCTCAATCTCGTCCACGGAGAAACCCTCAGCCTCCAAGCTCATGGGATCACATTCCCCCATGTGGCCCCACTCCTCTTCCAGATCATCGGGACCTGAGTAGTTGGCAAGGAATCGCCCCTTTTCCGCGTCTCGCTTCCGGATGTCACTGTCCGACCAATGCTTGCGGAGGACCTCCTCCACGACTCGAACTCCAAACTCCCCACGAAGTTCCGCATGGAGAACATTTCGTTCCATCACATCCAGGCCGGAGTCCATGAACAAGTACCAACCCTGGATAAAGTCTGGCAGAATCTCCGGAAGCTGATGGCGGCTCCATTCGCTGGTATCCTGGCGATCATCCCTTGACCACGACTGCCCGTAGGAGTCATACCAGGACCAGTCATAGTAGCCCTGCCAACCATTGTAGTGGGTGTCCCACTCTTCGATGGGATCTTGGAACTCTGAGTCTCCTTGTCCAGACGAGACCTCATGAGGCCCCTGCTGACTCTCTCCCCCTGGCTCACTGCGGGTGTGAGAGCTTGGATGGCGTCCTGCAGTTGACGATGCCGGCCACGTTGAGGTCGATGCCATGCCATGGTCTCGCTGGTATCGTGCCATTGACTGTTGGGCTCGAGTGTAGGCCTCAGCCTTTCGCAGAATGAAATCTCCCATGGGTTCGCCCCGTTGTCTCTTCGTTCCACGGAAGTACTTCAGCAAAAGCTCGGACATCTCGGGCACTTTGGGTTGTCCTCGTTCGGCACGAAGGGCAGCAACCAAGACACGCACCCCACCGTCATGAGACAGCCAGTTGGCTGGCTTCCCAATCAACACTCTCCGGGCCGGTCCACGAAGTTCAGCAGCTATTCGGGGACCGCACAGGTACCGCTTCTCTTTGACCACGGTCTGCTCGTAGAGGAGGCACATTTCAATGAACTCTTCAAAGCAAACAGCTTCTCCCCCCCCAGACGGGCACTCCATCCTTGCTCTTCTGTACCCCAGTGTTGAGGCCACCTGTCGACTCTGTACGGCTCGGCAGTGCAGAGTACAAAGCATCACCTGTCCACATCCTACTGGAGCACAAGGCTCCGCTACCATGCAGGTAGCCCCTTCTCACAAGCCAGCTGTTGCGGGGATACTCCCGGCGTCAACGACGGTCAAGCTTGATGGAAATAAGTGTCTAGCTCTCTTCAATCAACTCGCACGGAAAGGACAGCGCAAAGCGGTCGAACGGGCGAGGGCGAATGAACCCGGCGGAGCACTAGGACACTGGATTTTGATCCACTTAGCTGGTAGCGAGTACCAAGGTTGGCTTGGGTACGAGTGACATATCAACAATATATATCTATGTATGTATGTGTGTGTGTGCAGAGATGTTGGCGACTAAAGCATCCCGACTTAACTAGCTTCCTTAACATTCCTTAACTAGCGAAACTTTGAAAACCCTCTTTACCAGGTTGATACCTGGACTTCGAAACTAGATTGATTCTTTAATTTGCACTTTTCCTACGCTATTCAGTTCTAGTACCGATGGGCATAAGGGGTGCCTGCGGGTGCGGCATTTATCTATTTGACTGTTTCACATGCTTTTCTCACCTCCGTACCCATGGCACGCAAGAAGAAGAAGAAGAAGAA